ACAGAGCAGTAGCTTGTGGTTCCAAGTAGTCACAAATGTGCAAGCCCAGAAAAGGGCACATTTCCAGTTCCAGTCCTCCTCTAGCAGGAGTGCAGTGGTTCCTCTAAGGTAATGCTAACAACCCAAAGGGAATCACTCAAGAGATTGGCTGGAGTTGATTTTATCACCTGAGGTGCCCTTTACTTTAAACAATGCAACTATTGTTGCATTTCCATTACCGCTCTGTACCCAACAGAAATTATTTCAGCCGGCTTAGACACTTACATTCATACTGTAGTTTTTTGCTTGGGGATGTGTTCTAGTGGTTTTTTGGAGGGTAGGGGTGGAGTGTGGAGACAGGGGAGTGGTAAGCATAGTAGAGAGGTTATTGAAGTCAGCAGAAACTATGCATCCTACAGATTCTGTGCATTCTTTTTCTTGGTCAGGTAAATAACAAATTCCTCCTTATGCATCAGACACTCAAACGCAATTTGCAAAAGCCTCAGTTCAAAACACGGGAGAAAGGAACTTACTTTTGACCATTCAAGCAACTCTGAGACTCCACACAAGACATACTGAAATAGAAGGTAAGGCAGCTTCCACCACAACATGGTTCACAGGGAGCATACTCAAATTAATGTCAATCTCATCACAAGTATAAGCCACCTGGTTTCATGCAGTCTTGTAGAATCGGGCTATACACATACACAGATTTAAAGACATTCATAGCACAGTTAATTCTTTCAAAAAAACAGCCTGAGAAGTTTGATCTTTAGAAGCTACTAGGAAAAAAAAACCTTCAAACTAAAGAACAACTAGTTTAAACTTTGGTAGACATACACTTAATTTCTTGATCCTGAAAAATAAACACGGAATTGACAGAGCAGATACCAGCATGCTGTGAATTTTAAGTTCATCGTTATACTCTTTCAATGCCTTAAGGTACCTTTTTCTGTTGTAACAGTGGATAAAGATTTCCTGCATTTTTAACAATGCAAACCTAACTCGATATTTAGAAGTTACTCTGTTTACAATCTTCCCATTTGGAAGCTTTACTATTAGAATATCCCACCCTCTGTTAAAAGTTCAAGTGGGAAAGCTGTTTTGTAAAAGCTCAGACAGCTGGACTCCAGCCCTATTGCATTCCAATCAAGTCACCCAAAATACATAGCTCAAGTACAATCAGAAACTGTAACATCCTTTGCATTGTGCTAAAACATAAAGAGGTTAAAAAAAAAACACCACCAAAACAAACCCAAAGAAATCAATAGAGGATCATCTTCCTAAGAAGGTTATTAGAAAGAATGCAAGTGAATGTTGCAGCTCGCCTAACCTATCTCGAGGCTACTGTCTGAACTGCAAGGAAGAACTTTTTGGTGTCACAACATCATCTGGTTTTGTCCTACTTAGCATATGCTATGTATGTGTATTTCTGATTCAGCAGAAACACTACCAGAACTCTTACAGAAGTTGATAACAATTAATATTAAATTAGTGCAGTTTTTCTGATTTCTTCATTGACAAAACAGCTGAAGTACTGTCCCTGTGCAGCTTTCTGTTGGCATTCAGATCAATACTGTCACAGTGCCAGATTAGCACTATTTTTCTACACTAACCTAAAAATAGTTGCCATGCTCCAGTGAAAATCTGACTTTCACACTTTCCACATCTGCTAGCCCAGTGTTAACCCTCATTTTAACTGAGATGACTAAATATTCATTGTCAAAATAAACAAGCAATAAGCTGATGGACCTTCTGATTTCTAGGACCATGTGCATTCCCTATACTAAAAGGGCTGGTGTTAACTGGCCAAAATTAATCCCTTCCTCACACTTCTTGAATTTTAAACTATGCAGCTATAAGGAATTAAGAGGGAAAGAGCAATCGAAACAGGACTAACTCTGTAACAGAGCAATTCCAGTATAAGTATTCACTGAATTTAATATATGAAAATATGAAAAGACTTTTAAAATGATGCTATTTCATCCTTTTCTTATCACCTGTGATGTGCAACTAAGGAGCTGCCCAATACAAGAACCTGCACAGCAGTAAGGCTTATCCAGCATAATTTCTGCAATTTTACCTGTGTTGTTCCAACAACAATTCAGTGCTCTTTGCAGATTCTATGTCTGCTGAGTTTAGATTGCTACAGGTTTCTAATCAGGAATGCCAAAATGGACCATGCAGGAAAACTCCATACCTGGAGTTTGGTCAATGGAAAATATTTATTTCTATTGTGAAACAGTTTACAAATATTTTGTTTGCTGTTTTTCAGTCTGCAATTGTCCTAAGTTTAGAACATGAGATAAATCCATTTTATTCAATTGACTTTTAAGGTACTGTATATTCTCGGATGTGGAGTAAGACATGTGATGGAATACTAATGTGAAGAAGGACATGTCATTAAGTAACATCATAATCACCAGTATTATACCATCCACAGCCTCATCCACTGCTTACTGCTCCATGTAGCAACAAATCACATCTCAGAATTAAAGAGAAGGAGCACAAAGAAGCCTTTATGCAAGGAAGAAAAGTTACACCACCACAGGGATATGCTCCATAGAATCATAGAACCAATTAGACTGAAAAGGACTTTTAAGATCGCCAAGTCCAACCGTTACCCCAGGACTACCAAACCCACCACTAAACCATGCCAATATGGGCAAACTGATCGCCCCTTACAGCTGCCCCTCATAACCTCCACCTCTCGCAGTGGCCCACACTTGTAAAGCTGTTGCCACTAGCCCCCATGGCTGCCCTTCACACCCCCACAGATGACCTTGCTCTCCCCTGAGGGCCACCTCTTCTCTCCCCTCACGATCTTCCCTATGGCGCTCCCTCCTTTCCCCTCACGATCTCCCCTCATGGCACCCCTTCTCTCCCCTCATGGCACCCCTCCTTTCCCCTCATGGCACCCCTCCTCTCCCTTCATGATCTTCCCTCATGGCCATCCCTCCTCTCCCTTCATGAACTTCCCTCATGGCCATTCCTCCTCTCCCTTCATGATCTTCCCTCATGGCACCCCTCCTTTCCCCTCATGATCTCCCCTCATGGCCGTTGCTCCTCTGCCTTCATGATCTTCCCTCATGGCACCCCTCCTCTCCCCTCATGATCTTCCCTCATGGCACCCCTCCTTTCCCCTCACAATCTCCCCTCATGGCACCCCTTCTCTCCCCTCATGGCACCCCTCCTTTCCCCTCATGATCTCCCCTCATGGCACCCCTCCTCTCCCTTCATGATCTCCCCTCATGGCCATCCCTCCTCTCCCTTCATGATCTTTCCTCATGGCCATCCCTCCTCTCCCTTCATGATCTTCCCTCATGGCCATCCCTCCTCTCCCCTCATGGCCACCCCTTCTTTCCATCGCTTTGCAAGGCTGAGTGCTCCCTCCCTAGAACTTGCCACACGAAACCCGCTATTGTTACACACACAAAAACAGACACAAAATGATTTTCTGCCTTAAAAACTGTGCATTTCTTTATGTGTGAGAGGCTAGCAACTATGCCTTCTTCCTATATCTACCACTGTAACTATCACTGCAAAGCAGTAAGGCATCGCTGAAGACAGCGATCATACCAGTGCCCTTTCCCAACATGCCGTGTCCATTCCTACTCGCTCCCCCTTACACACCTTGCCATCTCCTCTCATGACTGTCATGATGCACCTCTCTCCCGCCACTCACTGTGTGCACATACCGTATCGCATCCCCGCGTATTATACCCACACAGCAAACCTCAACCAACCTCTTCCTCCTTTGCTGCACTCTCCCCACACCTACATGACACTATACCTCCACACGCAGATGCAACAAACCTCATGCCCACCACACACCCCCCGCAAATCCATTATAAACACACCTGTGCGTTAAAGCATTACAGCTAGGCATACTTATACATAGAAACAACCGGCACTCTATAGACACAAAATACCATCCCCTATGTGTGCTACATGCATATAAAAAGCACAGATAATCCTTGCCACACCCACAGCATACGTGCCTATAAAAACATCCCCATATTATGCCACACCCAATATTCACTATATATACACACAGAGGCAGACGCCCATACCAGACAGCAGTACACAAACACAGCTAGATACATAGGATGCCATGTCATTTCCCTGCAAGCAATGTTAAATCTCTGCTACAATACACAGACATAACCGAAGATGAAATCATAGCAGATGCACACACACGCAGACATGTTATACATTATGCTCATGACCTACTGTACATCTTTTATACATACACATCCTAGGCCACACCCTGGCTTACTGCACATGCATAAGCATACAGCACAGCACCGCATGCACCCACAGCGTGACACTGCCCTGCGCACCGACACACACGTTACCTTCCTCCCTACTCCATAACGGGGGGACGAGGCACCTCTGTCACGCCCCAGCCGCTTTACACACCCATACACATTACCCCTCCCGTGCTACACAGCGGGACAGCACACCCCTGCCACACCTGACCCGCTCTGCACACAGCCGGACTCCCACCATGGCTGCTCCGGCGCTACACGGGGAGGACACGCACCCGCCACACCTCACCACAGACACGCAGGCTGTGCCCGCCCTGCCTGTGCTTACAGCAGCCCCACCTGCTACAGTCACACACACACACTCTCCCCACCGCTACAGCCGCGGACGACACAGCCCGCCCAGCACCACATCCGCACCGCCACTGCTCACGCACACCCGTACCCTGTCTACTCCGCCCGCCAAGCGCAGACGTTCCGCCTGGCCGGGCCGCCTCCCTCCCTCCCTCCCCTCGGGCTGAGGGGCCCGCCTGCCGCCTGGCCCGGCAGCCGCTCTACACGTCCCCGACAGAACTCTCTCCCCACGGCGGCGGCTCCACCCGCCCTATCATCACCTGCCCGTCCCACCTCGCCGCCGCTCCCCGCCCCGGACCCCAAGTGGCCGAGCCAGCCCCCCTAAAGCCCGGCGGCGGCAGAGGGTGAAGGGGAGCGGCGCGGCGGGCCGGGCCGGGCCGGGCCGGGCCCCAGGCTCACCATGGCAGAGGCGCCGCGGCGAGGCCGGTTGTCCTGGAGACGGGGAGCCCCGAAGAGGGCGCCAGGTGCAACGCCTGCGCGAGCGCGCCGCCGGAGCCGGGGCGGGGCGGGGCCGCCGCCACCACCATGTGACCGGCACCGCCCCTGCGCGGTGGGGCCGGGCCGCCCCGGCTCCGCCCCCTCGGCTGCGAGCCCCTCCCTCTCGCCTCAGGTGGCTCCGTGAGGGGAAGGGGAGGGGGGGCCGGTGTCATGGCGGCTGTCAGGGTAGGTGTGAGGGTTGGTGGGTTCGCAGCCTGTCAGCCCCTTGAGGGAGCCCGGCTCCTCCCGGTGGCAGGACATGGGAGCCTTCGCCAGTGGGCTTTTGGGGTTTAGAGCAGGCTGTGTGCTCGCAGGTGAGGAGGGTCCGGTGCGGTCTGAAGGTGTTCTGGTTTTGGCAGGGCAGCAGCTGCCCCCTGCTCCTCCGGTTTGCAGCCCGGCGTATTGGCTGCTGGTATGTATGTCACATGTATGGTGACATGTTTAGTCCTGAGATAGTGCCTTATAAACCGGAGGGGTTGCTGGGGGTGGCAACCTCCTAAATTGCTACGGAAAACCCCACAAAAGCTTGTCTGTCAGAGAGGGAAGCGCTCTAAAGCCTTGCATGCGCAGCTTGTTCCTGTAAGCACCGCTGCCAGAGCCAAATACAATATTGTTAATAGCACATCTGCTCAGCAGTCACAACACCACATGCAAAAACAAGGAGATGGGAGAAAAAATTATCCCAGCACGGTCTGTTTTCTGTTGATTCAGGCCTTCAGCTTTCTAAGAAACACAAGTGGCCATTGCAGAGTAACTGGAGCTTGCTCTTTGGGACGGACGGGCTGCATTCATTCCTGTGAGGAATGAAACATTCTGGTCTGAATAACAGTAAAAAAAAAATAAGTTTCTTACTCAAGTGTCCTTTCTCAGAACCTGCATGGAAATAGTTGGTACATGCACATACCATTTGTTGGCACATCTCTGAAGCTACCATGCTCTGCTCTCCAGGCTTCAGGGAATGACCCGGTTCATACAGTTGGTCTGGTTTGTGTAGTAGGGAAGAAAGCCTCCGAAATGTGAAATATGTATAAACAATTTGGCCATGTTCAGCTGAATTGCAGGATGCCCGGACCAGCAGCTTCAATGTTCTGTTGGCTCACACTTAGAAAAACTGAAACAAAAAATATGACATTTTTTTAGTCCAATGCAAACATCTGGACAGTGTTATAAAGATGACAGATTTTTCTATCCATACAGTAAAAGGAATTTATGGAGCTAGAATCTTTTCAAGTTGCAGCAACCTGAAGATAAAATAGTTTTGCAAAAAGAAGGCACATTGCAAAATAAAACCAATGTTCGATTAGGAGACATTCAGGATGATTAGTCCAATTGGGATCTGTTTGTGCAAGGGAGGCAAGACAGGAGGCAAAAGTGCACGTTGACTTTTGTTGTGGTATCACTTGAAAATTCAGGAAAAGCTTACTCAAACCCCCTTTAGATTGACTTGAATTTTGTCAAGTATAAGCAATTAGTTGTGGAAATGAGACTTGTGTACAGAAGCGTATACATCCTGACCTGTCTTCTCCATTTCCTGTCTGCAGAATGTCTCAGGATGTACATCCCGAGTGTTAAGAGAATATATCCATGTTCAGTGTCCTGTTTTCAAGCAAAACACAGCAGTAGTTTGTGATGGAGAATTTGTTCATCCCAAAAATTCCCAGCTAGCTCTACTTAGAGAGGAAGGGGTGAGCAAGCAGCTGCGCGTTACTTAGCTGCTGGCTGGGGTTAAACCACAATGTGGTTGTAGGCAGCTAACTTCTTAAACTCCTACACTGGATCTGAAAGAGCTCGTCTTTCCTTAAGTTAAATGGTTGTGACAGGAAAGTCCATGTCTGTTGATTACCATTATGAGTAACAAATGGTCAGTGAACTTGTTTCTAGGATGCTTTTTTGCTATGTTGTGCATGTTCACATTAGGGCATATGCAGATGATGTTTTAAGTCTGACATGGCTTTTCATGCACTGCCCTGTAAGAACTAAAAGATCAAGACTTCCCAAACTTGCTTTTTTTCCCCCCAAACCAGCAGCAGGACATGCCAGCTTTGTGCCAGGATTTATACTTCTGTGTTTCTGTTGCCTTCTCAAAGGTTAATTGTATACTGCTAGTCGTGCACATACCATAGGTTGGGAATATCCTGCCCTATCCAGATAATTTGTGGGTGTCCAAATCAGTGACCTGACGAAGTGACCCAGTGCATCCACAGCCACCTCATTCCTGGATGGTGAGAAGCACGTAACTTGCTCTCAGGGCAGCCACTCAGAGGGATCCTGGCAACCTGCAGATGGGAATCTCAGGACGCTTGGCCAAGACAAACTCAAAGCCCTGCATCTGGGATGAGGACTTGCATCCTTGAGGAAGCTGGGTCCTGAGGCCATGAGGGGCTGCGTGACCGTATTTTGGTCACAGGTCATATTTGACCCAGCTATGCAGAGCTATGGGTATGCCCCAGGTGGTCTTAATGCATGGCAGCCTGGTTGTTGTCCCTGCAGAGTGGCTCTGACCATGCTGCCCTATATCAGGAAATTCCAGACAAATAAGGAAGTCTTCTGAATGTCAACCAGATAGTGTCTTGAGTCAGAGAAAGATGACGCGTGTCAGCTTTGTGTTTAAGACATTCCCATAAACATTTTTCCTAGTTTTGAGAGGTGAAGGTTGGCCCTTTCATTACATTCCCATTATTTCAAAACAATTTGAAGAGGTGCTTTTAAACTCAGTTCTGTGTTGGTGAATCTTTGCAGCAGAGAATTACTTTATATAAATAAAGAGCAAAGATTCAACCATATAAAGTCTTTGAATTTCAACAGAGTCGCTGAAAGAATGCGTTGGCAATGCTTGACCATTATTATCTATGTGTGAGGGTTTGATAAGCCATGGCACTACTCCTGTAAGTGCATATACAGTTGGTTAGCCTCACCCACTGGCGTAGCTCAGTAAGCACCAAATCAGAGAGCTGTTATAGAAATTCCTCCATAACCAGCTCCAGAATTCTCTATGTGTACTTCTTCTGACATGCTACATTTGAAGTGTTTTCTCAGAGCATGCTTTCATTTGCCATGCAGAAGGATCTCTGCTCAGGTGCTTTTAATTTAATTCTAGTTTAAGTAAGTGTTGAAAATTCTAGTTTAAGTAAGAAGTGTTGAAATTTCTGTTAGATTTACCCTTGTTTGGGAAAACTAGTTTGGTAACAGTTTGGAGAGTTGACATATTCCTGACAAGGACATAGTACATATGTTCAACTGCTGTTGCATATATCTATCAACGTACACAGATATAGACTAATTTTCCATGCAGCACAGACTTGTGGTAGCAGTTTGACCATGTATGGCTTCCCCAGTAGCTTAGTATATATTTGGCTTAGAGCTGTGCTCAAAAAACTGAAGTCAAAATTGGAGGAATAAAAAGTCATTGTAGTAAGATTTGTGTGGTTGCAAATAAAACTTAGGTTCACAAATGGAGTGGCTTTTATTGCATGTCCTAATCTTCTGTTTGTGTTAAAATAGATGTCAATAAAACATACTGTTTAAGACTTTCTTGCATTTGTTCCATTTGTGTGAAAACATATTAGCATGACAGAAGCAGTGATGGAATAGTATATACCCTTTACAAAGTGCAGTAAAATCCTTTGCTCATACACTGTGCTGCTGTGCTTTCTGCTTCTTCCTTTTTCATCTACAGACATTTGTACACCACTCAAAGATAAAAATGTGAACTACAGATCTTTTGCAAAGATTTTTGTCTGAGCTTTGTGTTTTGGGGTAAAGTATGGGTATTTATTTGCATAAAAGTACCAGACAGATGTTTTTTGTTGTTACACTCACATTACTGGTAAAGTTTAGTAGACCTACTCTGAGTTTAGTGTGGTAGCATCCAACAATTCTGCAGTTTGAAAATGAAGTTTGTTAAACCTGTTCTACACTGTACATTGTGTCTGGGAATTTTCTAATAATATTACTTTGCAACTGCAAAATAAAAACATTTTAATGTAGATAAGCTTTGGTCAGGTAAGCTGAGAATTATTGCATCTGTGTTGTCCTAGCAGGTAGAAACCTGAGTGGAGTTTTATTGGCTAAAAGCAGAAGAGAAGATAAATACTAGAATTTCACATGGAGAATAAAAATGGTTGTGGTCAAATGTCTTGGCAGCATTTCTGCTTTCTCTAAACTTAGAATACATGCTGTTGCTTTAACTGAGCAGATATTTCATGCCTCTGCCATTTCCATTATCATATATTTTCTTATCATGTATTTCTTCAATGTAAAATATGTGCTTGATCCTTTGAAAAAGTAAACATTGTGAAACTCTGGACTTTGATTTGACTTAAACACAGAGAGACTCTTCTCATCTGGCTCACCAACAAAAGGTTGGAGCACAGTAGGGAACCTGGACAGAAATATCATAGATACTTATTTTGTGCAGCTTTCTGGTTCCTTTAGACTTACTGCTCCTTTCAGTGATGGTTCCTTCCCAAATTATCACTTTGAACCGGATGCCTGAGGCTTTTGATTTATTTGTATTCAGTTGCTTGAGTGCATAATTTTGGACACAGCTGAATTTAAGGCATCTAAATTAGCAGCTTAAATTAGAAGAACAGATTCCCTTAGTAATGACCTATGAGAAGTTAAGAATCTACCTGTTCCATATTGACTGCATCTGGAACCTGAAATTAGATGCTTCAAGATGTAAACACAGTTACATGTACCAAGTGAAGCATAAATATTAATGTTATAAGGATGTTCTCTGGTGCTTAGTGTAAGATCTTAGGGAAAATTTTGATTTTCATGGACTCTTCAGAAGATACTTTTCCACTGAAGATGGCCCATATTCAACAATATACAGCTGGTCAGAGGCAGTGTTAGAACTAGAAAGCAGGAGTTACAGAACATGGTATACACTTGGAGGGTGAGTCCTGGGTTGCCTGAATGTCCTTCCAAAATTGAATGAATGTTTGCAACCTCAGCTCCAATCCTAACCCTACAGACTCCCATTCCTAGGTAAAGTACTTGCTACTTTGATTTCACTATTAATAGCAGCAAGCACTGC